TACGTGAACCTCTGCGGAGGGCCTTTCAAAGCGCTAATGAGTTTTTCAATCTCTGCATCTTGCTTTCGTCTGAGCTCCGTAAGTAGCAGGAGTGAGCACACGATGACCAGTGTTGCCGCGGTAACGCTGGTGCTGATAACAATTATATTCTTTCTGGAGCTGGAAGAACCACTGTCTACTTTCACCAGCCGGGAGCGGTCTTGAAACTTGAGGTAAGCCGTATAACTTGCTCGCTCTTGCGTCAAGCTTCCCGACACATCTCTCACGAAGTAGCAGTTTCTCAGGGTACCATCGTAAAAGAGAGCAGAGCAGGAACAATTCGTCCGGCACGTTTCGAGGCAATCCTCGAGCGGAGACGAAACTCTATCGGGGCTCGTGTACTGGTTTGTGAAGTAGCGGACTCCAGACAGAGCAACGAAGTCACTCTCGTACCTGGTGTCGCAGGTTGCAAGGCGAGAGGCCCAGTTGGGACTCTCACAGGTGCCGGACTCAGCTACGGTGGTGATGTTCGTGGCCCGGTTATCCATACACTCGCATGGCCCCGTTTGATTGCAAAGTCCATAGCTACCGCAGGAAAGAGGCAGATCACAGGCTCTATGACCGAAGAACTGCGTGAGCAAGAACTCGGTCTCCCAGTTCCCAGTCTCGTGCAACTTGTACGAGATCAAGTTCCCATCAGACTCGAGACGAAGCTGCCGTTTGCTGTTCCCTGACCCGAGACTTACGTTGAGCGGGGCATTGCAAGGACTACTCGTGGTAGCCGCGGAGCTCCGCTCGTAGGCCATGTTGACAGCTCCACCGGTTGTGTATTGGAGCACGGCAACGTAGCCGGGGCAGCGAACTCTTGCCGAGTCGATCGTGGACGGCAGCCCCAAGCTCCAGAGGAAGTAAGGCTGCTGCTCTTGGGAAGGAGGACTGAAAGCCAGGACAATGGCCCGTGCCTCCATGGTTGCAGTGAAGACTCCTTCCGACATGGTGGACGAGTTTAAGTTGCTTGCAAATCTCTGTCCGGTTACTAGCCGCTGGCCCGGAAGCAAGACATCGGTTGGATGATCGAAGGACTCCCAGACTGCTCCTCCGGACGAGTTATACAGCACCATGTTGCCAGTTTCATCGAGGCCAATGCTCGCGATGGTTTGATCGTCCGAGGGAGACCAGGCCGTGGTTAGATCGCCATTGAGGAGCTTGAGCTGGCCAGCGGTTTTTGTGAGACGGGACTCGTTGCTGACAGCTTTACTTCGATTCGCTGTCCAGATTGGAGCTCCCGCGGTGGCGTTCGTCGCTCCCATCACCAGCGAGAGGTAATAGTTCCCTGTTCCATTGAAGTTGAGGAAAGCTAACCCAAAGGTGCCGTTGTCGCTCAGGAGGAACTCTTGCTCGCCGCTGCTGCCGTTAAGATCTCTTGGAGCACTCACCAGGATGTAACTTCCGGAGCTTCCAAAACCGGGGAGCTCACGGCCTTGGATGGTGGCTGTCCAGTTCTCCGGAATGGTGTAGACTCGCCCCGAGGCGACGCTCGCGAGGCTCACAAGCAGCACGGCTAGAACTCCCACCGTTTTCATCGATCTCGACCTCAAAGGTATGGAAAGAATGGTTCTTCCTCGCATAGAAAGTGATCTTTGGGTTCTTTCTTAGGAAAAGCTGAACATTTCTAAGGCTACCCGTCCATCAATTTGACAAGCTTGGAATTCAATCGCACGAGACCTTTCGTGAGCTTTGTCAAAGACTGGGAACGCGCTATTGTTTACGTATGGCTAATAAAGCTTCGGTTTGTCAGTGGTCGAACAGATCGCAATCCAAAACTTTTCTCAGTGAGGTAACCGTCCGTTCCAGAGGAGGAATTACGTGTGTCGTGCAATTACGTGTCTTTGACAAATTTCTCATTCAAAGGTCTCGTGCGAATTCAAAGGTAATGGCGATGGTTTGATTTCAGATGATATTTCGGTCCATTCTCCAGAAAAATCAAGAGAAGTCTACGCCCATGGAGAATTAAATTCCAAGCTCACTGATAAACAGGGGTTGTAGCTCAGATGGTAGAGCGATCGCTTTGCATGCGATAGGTAAGGGGATCGATGCCCCTCATCTCCACTACTTCCGTTTTCTTCTTTTTGTTTGGGATGGCGGTCGAGCGCGTCCTCGCCTTCTCTTTTCTCGCGATAATCTCCTTCTCGCAATCTCTAGCCAAGAGCTTCGATCTCCCGGACCACTGGAGCGCGAGCAATGACGCTAGTTTGGAGCAGCTGGATGCTGCTAATGGGATCGGCCACTACCGATTGATCCCCGCTCCCTCCTCTCCGGGCGAGAAGCTCGTCAGCGCCAATGGTACGTTTGCCCTCTGCTTCTTCACCTTCCGCGGCACAGAGAAATCCCACCTCTCGATCGTCATCCGCAGCGCTAATTCGCCCAACACCTCCGCCGCCGTCGTGTGGACGGCAAATCGGCGCGATCCCATCCGAGGAGGCGGCGCCCTGCGCTGGAATTCCACCAAGAAATCCCTGGATCTCAGCGATCTCGACGGGAATACCGTCTGGAGCACCGATCCATCCAACGCAACCACGATCGAGCTCCAAGAATCGGGAAATCTTGTGCTCCGTGACGCCGGCGACCGCGAGGTCTGGCAGAGCTTCGACAATCCCAGCGATGTCATCCTCGAGGGGCAGAAGATCTTCACGGGGCAGCGATTAACAAGCAGCAAGAATCGATCGAGCTTGGAGGAGGGGAATTTCGAGGTCGCCATAGAGCCCAATGGAGTAGGGTTCTACCTCGTCAAAGATCCTTCGTCTTCTTCTTCTTCCTCGCTCAAAGAGCCATACTTCCAATGGGCTCTCTGGAACCAAGATAACAATCGCCCAGTGGACTCGCCATGCCAGACGTACGAGACCGTACTTGAATTGCGCCCGGGGGCCATTGTTATGTCGTACCAGAGGTCCCGCGCGGCCGTACTCCAGGGCGGGAACTTTTCAAATTTCCCCAGGTGTGGACCGGACCTCTCTACGAACCTCCCGGGCGAGCGAGGAGCCCTAAATTTCATCAAGCTCGACATCACTGGCGATCTGGTCCAGCAGAGCTTCGATGCCGCGGCATCGATCTGGCAGAGCTTCTCGACCCCGGTGAGGAGCCAGGTCGGTGCTTGCTTGCCGATGGCATGTGGATCGAATAGCATCTGTCGGGGTAGCGGCCAATGCGAGTGCTTGATCAAGAACCCTAGCAGCGGCAGCGGCAGCGGCAATCTATCTTGTCCAGCTCCAATCGAAAGGCCGCTGGCGTGCAGCAATCTCGAGGCCAGGAATCACCACTTCTTGAATGTAAGCGGTGCTTCGTACTTCTCCAATCGCTACAGCACCCCCGATAGGGTCTCCAGCTTCCAGGATTGCTCGCGGCTCTGTCTCGCGAATTGCTCCTGCCGCGTATTCTTCTACAACACCGATGGCTCGTGCTTCTTTGTCAACCGCGTCTACGGCAGCCTCACCGCGGATTCGTCCTCCACCGCCTACCTCAAGATCCAGAATTCCGAGTTTGTGGATCCAAACAAACGCCAGAAGACGATGGCGGTGGCTCTGGGAGTGAGTGGAAGCGCTCTCTTTGTGGTGCTGTGCGTCAGCGCTGTGGCATTCTACATGTGGCGGAAGCAATCGAGCAGGATAGCTGGAACGCTGGCCGAGGCTTTGCAGGGATCGATCCATCGATTCACGTACAAGGAGCTCGAGTTGGCGACAGCGAATTTCTCGTCGATGGTCGGTAGTGGCGGATCAGGGACAGTGTTTCAGGGAACCTTTCTCGATGGCACCAAGGTGGCGATCAAGAAGCTGGAGAACACCAGCCAGGGGCAGAAGGAATTCGTGGCGGAGGTGAACAGCATTGGTAGCATCAGCCACATGAACATCATCAAGCTCTGTGGATTCTGTGCCGAACGATCGCATCGTTTGCTTGTCTACGAGTTCATCGCCAATGGGTCTCTGGATCACTGGCTGTTTCACGACGACGCTGCTAGCCAGGATTCGTCCGCCAACTTTCTGGATTGGAGGACTCGATTTGGCATCGCTCTGGGTGTTGCTCGAGGTCTGTCCTACTTGCACGAGGAATCCAGGCAGCTGATCATGCATCTAGACATCAAGCCGCAAAACATCCTCTTGGACGAGCAATTCGTGGCCAAGATCGCCGACTTTGGGACGTCCAAGCTCATGGCGAGCAGGGAAATCAGCCAGGAGACGACCAACGTACGAGGAACTCCCGGCTACTTGGCTCCAGAGTGGCTGCTCCACTCGGTGGCGACGAAGAAATGCGACGTGTATAGCTATGGAATGGTGCTGCTGGAGATCATCGCTGGGAGGAGGAACTTGATGAGCTCTTGCGAGGACGAAGATCTGGCGTGGTACTTCCCGGCCTTGGCGGTGAAGAAGGCGTCGCAGGGGATGATCCGGGAGATCTATGACAGGAGAATTGCGGGAGAAGTGGAAGAGAAAGAGGGCGAGAGGATCGCTCGCGTCGCGCTGTGGTGCATCCAAGAGAATCCCGCGATGAGGCCGTCGATGGAGAGCGTCGTGAAGATGCTGGAGGGACTGGAAGAAGTTTTGGATCCGCCGCTAGAGTTCCACTTCGCGCTCCAATCGTCCGGGATCATCAGCATCTCCACCATCGCCAATAGCCTCGCCTTTGAAGATGACCTAAATTTGAAAAGCATAGATAGCGGGAAGGTCTAGGCATAACCATGAGCATATGCCAAAGCAAATATTCTTTCTTTCAATTCAGAGCCCTAAAGTTTAGTTCTTTCTTCTCGAGCAAGCTTGTGTGCGACGGCAATGGTGTTCCACACGGAGCTGATGATCCGCCTCGCTCGAGCGCCGAAATCTCTCTCTCTAGGCCGCGGCGACACTCCCGACACCGATCCGGATATGACGTGGTTGTCGACGATGATCCAGAAGCCCCAAGCGGATCACGGCTTTCCCTCGGCTGCGATCTCCGCCCTAGCGCCGGCCAGGATCGCAAAGCTCCGCCCAGAATCGCTGGCCAGAGGCCGTGTTCTCCATGGAGTACTCATCGCGGATGCGCTCATGCTCGAGGACAGCGTCCAGGTACTCACTACGCTCAGGGATTCCAGAGGCGACGAAGTGTTGCTGGCGATCAAGCACGCAGTGGCCAGCGACGCCACGGCCGAGCAAGTCCGAGCGAAATATCCGAGAGGAGCTCGAGTGGCCGTCAAGGAGCCGATGCTCCACAAGCACCATGGTTCCTTCATCTCGCTGGACAACCCGGCCAATGTGGAGGTGATCTCCTACCTCAGCGACGAGCAGCTGGAACGATACGCAGGTATGGCTCCCGCGGCACTGCGAGTAGAGGGCAACAAGCTCTTCCAAGATGGGAGCTTTGAGGCTGCCGCTCAAGCCTACGCCTTGAGCGCTGTGAAATGCGAGCAGGAGGAGGAGCGTGATCGTGTTCTTGCTCTCTCCAACCAGGCCGAGAGCTTTTTCAAGCTGGGACGATATGAGCAGTGCGTGGATGCCGCAAGTGCCGCTCTCGCCGTGGATCCCCGCCACCTCAAGAGCCTCTACAGGAAAGCTTTGGCGCTGCTCAATCTCCAGTGCTACGAGTGGTCGTGCCGGCTCTTGAGCAACGTTCTTGGAGTGGACGAGGAAATCGATCAATTGCACGAAAGATGTCAGAAGCTCGCGATCCAGAGCAAGGACATCAGCAGCATCATGGCAGATATCCATGGTTTTTATCGAGCCTGGAGCGAAGGAGAGCAAGCCCCACTTTTCCCAGAGGTTGCTGACAACGTTTGCCAAGTGGAAGTGAAGAAATGCGAGGACCAGAGCAAGCAACGAGGCCGGGGGCTCTTTGCGACGACCAACATCAAGAAAGGCGAGCTTGTCCTTACCAGCAACTCGGCGGCTTTCGAGCGAGGTGGCAACATCTCGGTATGCAACAGGAATGCCTCAATCCGATTCCTTGACATGGCCATGAAGTCGCCACGAGCATACAAGCAGATCCACAGCCTTGCTAGCATGGCCGCAGGGAACGAGCGTGAAGTTCCAGCAATGGAGCTCTTCCAGGCAGACTGGGCCACGCCGGAGAACTGGTCGAGCGTCAGCACCGACAGCAGCAGGGAAGCTCTCGAAGGCATTTCGGTGGAGAGGGTCTTCGAGACTGTGAGCGTAGCTTCCTTCAATCCGACAGGTCCAGGTCCTGACGAGAACACGCAGCGCCTGCTCTACGTTGGTACCTGGCTCATCCCCAGCTTCATCAACCATTGCTGTGTTGGGAACGTTTGCCAGAGGTTGTTTGGCACCACGGTTTGCTACTTTGCCACCCGAGACATCCAGGCCGGGGAGGAGCTTGGGCACTGCTACATCATCGCCGGCCATCCTTACAGGCGGACGAGGTTGGACTTCGAGTGCGCTTGCAAGAAGTGCGAGCTGGAGCGGCAGCTGGACGAGGATCTCGCGGAGGTGACGGGCTGCTACAGGGACTTGGCCGAGGCCAACTTCGAGTTCCGGTTGAAGGGAGAGACCGACATCCCCGGGATGGTGGCGAAGCTGGAGAAAGTGTTGGCGACCAAGCTCCAGGAGGAGGAGGATCGGCAGTGCATGAGAGCGGTGCATTGGTCGCTTTATTTGATTTACTACCAAAAGCTCAGGCGCGGAAACGTGGTGGCGCTGCCCGAGGGGATGGTTCCTGCGGGAGAGGTGATCATGGAGGCGATCCACAGGTTCTCGGCGGGCAACCTTTGCAGCAAGTGGTGCCTTGAGATGATGGCGGAGTGCGCACGGGACAAGGAAGCGGCGAGGAGAGATGGAGGTGGAGGTGCTGTTTGGGAAGCAGGAGAACGCTTGCGTCGCCAAGGCCATCTATGAGAGAGGTACGGAACTCATTGCTCAGGATCTAATGTGCTGATCAGTTCTTTAGTTTCTTCGTCTTCTTCTCTTTGTTTCTCTCCTTCTCCTTCGTCTTCTTCTCTCTCGTTCTTGTTCGTCTACTTCTTTGAGCTTGTCCTTTGTTTGATCGTCTCAACTTTGTCTCGGTTTCGAAAATAATGTAAGTTTTGCTATAAACTCTTAGTGCCGAAAAAGCAAGTCGATCGCAGAAGTAACAATCCGAGAAAACAGAATCGAGATAAAATTCTCCAAGACGTCGTCTGAGAGATTCGAACTCTCGCTGAGAGACCCCATGTTCTTAGCAGGCACACGGCTTAACCACTCGGCCAAAGAGACATTACTTTTCGAAAGCACGTTTATGGGGCATGCTTTAGTGAATGTACTACAATTTTTTTGCCTGCTATTAAAGTTGGCGGTTTTGCTTTGGTGAGTGCTTTCTCCATGCGCCTCGTGGCGCCACACCCATGAACAAACCTCCGCTTCTATGTCGAGACACGTGTAATCCCCCAAAGACATAACCAACCTTTCTAACAAAGTATAAAGAAGAGCTTACGTGAATCATTGTGTAAGTATCGTACCCCAAAGAGCGAGAAAACATGAGAAACATGGCGCTCATTGTTCTAGCTCCAATTCTACTCTTGCTCGTGAGCTCGGTTCTCCTCTGCCATGGACAGCCCCCAGCGAATCGTCAGTTTGGTGGAATCTTCAGGTTTCGGCTTGGTTTTGCGCAGCTTGCCGTGGAGCGTGTCCAAGACCTCATGGATCGCCTCGAGGCCTTCGTGGGGAGGAGATTTAGAGGCAATTTTGGTTACTTTGCAGGAAGGAGCGTGGGATTCGTGGTGGAGTACGCAAACAATGCCTACGTCCGCGTGAGAGTGTGGCTCTACAACCGAGCTTACACTGAGAACGCAGACATTTGCTCCGTTGCGCCAGGTCGCGCGAGTCTCCCAGGGGGCGACCTCCTAGACAGCGTTGGGCGGATGATTGCAACCATCCGAGCGGAGCTGCTAGACGTGGCTCGGACGCGAAGCTGGTTTGGCCGAGTCAACATAGTGCTCGGCTACTTTGGGATTGAGTATGAGTTCCAGGGCACCCCATTCGACAGCGATCCTGGCGATAGGCCTGAAGGAGATGGTGGATCAAGCGGTGAACTACTTGGGTTTGACCGCACTGACTTCCTTGTTCACCCAGTCAGCACGGTCGTTGGCTTGGGCGTTGACCCTGACGCCGGGAATTGCTGGGTCTTTGCTACGTCTCTAGTTGGCGGGAGTCACCCCCAGGGATCGACGCTGCCCGAGGGGAACAGCTTGGTCTCACCGAGCATGGAGTTTAGGCTGTCTATGGAGGCCGGGTGTGATCTGGTGGTAAGACGTAGCCACAGCGGGGAGATTGTCCGGAGGATTGTTCGCGGGAGGGATCAAGCGTGTGTCTTGTCTCTCTGGAAGAATGGGGTGCTCTTGGTCTCTGGATCGCGGGTGGTCATCTTGAAGACGAAAACGAACTATGGGTCCAAACATTCGTATGGTCTGGCAATGGAGAACGATGGTCATGCCAGGCTTTATATGACGGACTTGGTGAAACAGATTTGGTCAACCGAGCACATATAGAATAAAAGTGCGATGTTTGGAATTTATATGTTGCAAAGTAATACACAGTTTTGCGAACTTAGAAAAGTCCCAGCTCCCGTGACAAGTTGCGAGGGGAAAGAAAAGGGGGCAATCGCTCGCAGTCATTTTCACTGCATGAGAAAGCAAAAGTCGTTTAGAGTTGGCTCTTTGAATTCTAACTTTCTTGGGCGATTTTTAACTCTCGATTCTCAAAAGTTCGTCAACAATCACCACAAAAGAACTCGGACTTGGCCGCGAGCAAATGTGAGAAAGCCAGTGCGTCCTTGTTTCAGCGGAATGCCTTGCCACGACCGCACCAATGCTTGGCTGGGAGTATTTCTTGTGTGGAGGCAAAGATCTGTCCTCAACTTCGCTGTCATTGTCTCCGAGGAACTCCTTGTTTCCTAAATGCCTTTCTTTGTCCTTGTTATATGCTATTTCACAGCTCCTGGAAGATTCCATCGTTAAACCTTTGAATATTCGAAAATATCGTCTCATGGGATTCTTACTTATATTTCTCAAACATAGCAATTCTACCTCTTTCCTCAAGTTCGTCATGTAAAGCTTGACATCCATCGTTCTCCATTGCGTAACCATACGAATGCTTACTTCCATAGTTTGTTCTCGCTGACCAGCCTCCGCGAGCCAGAGACCGGGAGCACCACATTCTTCCAGCCAACACGGCGGCGTAGTGTGTGAGCCTGCCACATCTCATTCTATGGAGGCAGGAAGGAGTGCGGGATTTGTGATGGAGTACGCAAACGAAACCAATTTATGGATCCAAGCATTCGTATGGTCTGGCAATGGAGAACCCAGGCTTTACATGACGGACTTGGCGAAAGAGATTTTGCATATATAGAATAGAAGTGCGATGTTCAGAAAACGAAAAGTTCTTAACTTTAATGTTCGATATATGGCACAACAATATCTACACCTAGAGGTTTGCAATCCACGAAACTCAAGTGCTAGTGATGCAACAAGGCAAGAGTGTGAGAGGCCCTCTTGGTCAAAGGGATTTACATTGGCTGGTGTGAATATATAAAGAAAATGCAAAGGTGTCATTTTCATTCTTTACAAAGAAAATGGAAAGGTTTTTTGTCACGTCGCCTGAGAGATTCGAACTCTCGCGGGGAAACCCCATGTACTTAGCAGGCACACGCCTTAACCACTCGGCCAAAGCGACATTTCTGTGCTTTCTTTTAAAAGAGTAATCTTCCGAACGTTTCTTATGATCCGGATATTCGTTTAGGTTAAGTTACAATTATGAGAAAATTCAACCAAACAAAAAAGAAGATTTTATAATTAATAAGATAAAATTCACAAGATCATTTTATAATCATAAACATTTAAAAATTATAATCATTTTCTTTTATCTAGATCCACAAACGTATCATAACTTGTGCGAACTCGCGACGTTAACCACGATAATTATCTTTGACCAAAGTTATGATGGTGATTTATGAGCTTCTAGTTTGGATGATCTTACGCACGAAAACTAGTCTTTATCGACCAACGCCTCCAGAGAAACCCGGGGACATTCTCGAGGGGATATCCCTAGCAGCAAAATTCACACGGATCTCACGACCGTTTAGATTCTGCCACAAAGAAAAGGAATGAGAGAAACCATGAGAAAGGAATTGGAGAGAACAAACCTTTCCATCCATGGCTTGGAGAGCGTCTTGAGCGTCCTGCAGCAGCAGCTGCCTGCCGTCTGCGGAGCGGGCGGTCTACCTTTTTTTTTTTTTTTCTTTTTTTTTTGCCTCGGAGACGTAAGTGATGAATCCATAGCCTTTGGACTTGCCAGTCTCCCGGTCTTTCACGATTCTAACTGGAGGAGCGCGAGGTGGTTTGGAGCCATTGCAAAAGGAAAACTAGTACCTTCTCTAACTTCGCCGAACGAAGAGAAGGCCTCCTGGACAATTCCCTCGGTCAGTCCCCAAGAAAGGCCTGTGAGACACAAAGATTAGTTCCCGCAAAAGAAAAAATTCCTGGAAGTTGGATGAGAAACAAATCACCCAAAAAAAAGAAGACCGAAGAATGCTGAAGTTTCTAGAGATTGGAAGGAAAGAACTCGATCGAATTTCATGCGATAGAAGAATTGTTGCTACAATCGAGGACTTAGAATCATGCAATAGAAGAGAAATTGAGCATAGAAAACCGAAAGGAAATGCGGGTGTCTATGCTGAAAGAGAGAGCGCAATCCATACCTCCAACGAAAATCGTAGAAGAATCGCGCTTTTGGACGCAGAGAGCCGGAATCCTGCCCAGCGCCTTCGCAGCGCCGTGCGCCCTGCCCGAGAACGCCATGGAAGAAATTCCCTCCAAGCCCTAAAACAAACTTTAGGGTTTATGGCGATGGCGATCGCCTCCAGCATTCGCGAGGGCGACGTGGTGATCGTCTACGAGCGCCACGATCGGATGAAGGCGGTGACGGTGCGCAAGGGCGGTGAGCTCCAGAACAGATTCGGCGTGTTCCGGCACGACGATTGGATCGGCAAGCCATTTGGGAGCCGCGTGGTGGACAAGAAGAAGGGCAGCGGCTTTGTCTATCTCCTGGCGCCATCGCCAGTGCTGTGGACGCTGGTTCTCAGCCATAGGACGCAGATCTTGTACCTCGCGGACATTAGCTTCGTTATTTGCGGGCTGGAGCTCCGGCCTGGTTGTGTGGTGCTGGAATCGGGCACTGGGAGTGGATCGCTCACCACTTCTCTTGCCAGGGCCGTCGCTCCCTCTGGTCACGTCCATACTTTCGATTTTCACGAGCCTCGAGCTTCTCTCGCAAGGTACGTCTTTCTCTCTTTTTCTTCCATTCGAGATGGTTTGTTCTTTGCATTCTTTCGTTCCGGTTTAGTCTATAGTGAGTGACAGTCTTTTGCACGATTCTAGCATTGTCTTTCCTTTCCTGATAGCATCATCTTCCATTTTTTTTCCTTCCGAAACTTTCACAGAGTTGTAGATCCTGCGTCTCCAACTTTGTTCTTTTTTTCTTTTGATCTATACTTTTGATTTTCACAAGCCTCCAGTTTCTCTCGCAATGTAAGTTTCTTTTCTCTTCTTTTTTTGACATTCTTTTGCGCGATTCTGGCATTGTCTTTCCTTTTCTTTCCTGATAGCATCATATTTCTCTACCATCTTCACAGAGTTGTAGGTTTTATACTTCCTGCGTCTCTAGCTTTGTTCATTTTCTTCTTTTCTTCCTCTCAATACTAAAGGTGGTCACATTTTTGTAGGAAGGACTTTGAGAACAATCGCATCAACAACGTGACCGTTGGTGTTCGAGATATCCAGGGGCAGGGATTTCCGGAAGAGCTTACAGACAAAGCCAACGCAGTTTTCCTCGACTTGCCGCAGCCATGGCTGGCGGTTGAATCGGTGCTAATCTGTCTCCGGCCCAATGCTTCGTGCTGCTCCTTTTCTCCGTGCATCGAACAAGTGCAAAGAACTTGCGAGGCATTCAGGAAGCACAACTTTGTGGGTATAAAGTTTTCGAAGTCCTACGCTTTCTAGACTAACTGTTCCGCTGCAGACATTCGAACGTTCGAGGTCCTGTTGAGATCATACGAGGTTCGTAAGGAGTTCCTCACTGACATCTCGGTTAACAACGGCGAAGTTGAGGATGCATCGTTACCTCCACAAAAGAGAAGGCGCTCGGACTCGTCTGAGAAGCCGAGGCCGGACGGTGGTGATGCTCCCAACCCAAGCATTGGCGCGGTCATGGCAAGGCCTTATGCTGAAACCAAGGGACACACTGGCTTTCTCACATTTGCTCGCTGCCAAGTCTGAGGTAAGCTCTCTTGGTTTTTCTTGTTCTTTCGTTCTAGACGATCTTTCAAGAGGAGCTATTTTTCCTAATCGACTTTGGTTGTTTTCTTGCAGTGGAAACGAACGCGAGCGATCCCTCGACTTCTCACACAATTTTCAAAAATCCAAAACAAAAATACACTTTTTCATGTTATTGCTGCCGCTGCGATCTTGTCGTCGTACAAATGATACAAGGTTGGATTACAAGGTGATACAAATGATATTACATGAAACAATATTTTGGACCATGCTTGTGAGAAGAGAGATTTATAAATTCTTCATCAAAATGTCGCTTTGGCCGAGTGGTTAAGGCGTGTGCCTGCTAAGTACATGGGGTTTCCCCGCGAGAGTTCGAATCTCTCAGGCGACGTCTTTCTATTTTATAGCTTTGGAGTTATCTTAACTTATCACTTTGCTTTTTCGAGTTCTATCTCATAGACAAAGTTGCAAACGTTAAAACAGGGAGCGCTGGTTGTTTATGTTGCCAGAGGTGGGGTTTTTTGTCACACACACTGAAAATGCTGGTAATAAAAGTTGGTTTCTATGCGATCCTTTCGAGCTAGTCAACTAACGCTGACTAGCACTGGTCAAATTTGAGCCAACGGAAACTTATTCGGTGAGAATGTTCAACAACGGTCAACTACACACGCTAAAGTTTTCTAAAAGTTCTACGCCAACTGTTGAGATCATACAACGAGTTCCCACTGACATCTCGGCCAAGGATGGTGAAACTGACGCACGAGAGGACTAGTCTGAGAAATCTGGCCAAGAAATTCCCCAGCATTGTTTCATGTATGCATTCTCCAGCGTTCCATCCCGCTTACTAACATTTTGGACTTTGTTTTTCGACCCTGAAAGGTTTCATCCGGGAACTTTCATCTCGCAAAACTTCTAAACGCTTTTTATTTTCAAGACCGAGACAGAGTTGAGACAATCAAAAAAGGATTCGCCAAAACACAAGCATAAAAGAACAAAGAGAAGAAGTAGAAGAACAAAGAACTGAAGGAGAAGAAGAAACAAAACAACTCCAAGAAAACCAAGTGTCAGTGACCAAGATGAGCAATGAGTTCCACACCTCTCTCCTTGATGGCCTTGGCAATGCAAGCCAAAACTTCACCTCCCACTCCATCTCCATCACCCTCCTCACTCCTTCCTTGTCCCGTGTGAAGTCCGTCAACCTTTCAAGGATAATCACATTGATCTGGAATCAAAGTGGGAAGAATTCCCAGTGATTTTAGATTTCTTTAAAAAGGAGAAATTTTTAAAATACAAATTTATCTTTTGATTTAACATTCTACTATGTGAGAGCTTTAGAGTTGAAGGCTAAACAAAGCAGCAATGCAAGGTTGAAAGCCAGTTCTATATTCATTAACACATACATACTTTTACTACTTTAACACTATACATTTGCTTTGGCTGCAAACTTTGTCCAGCCAACATGAATCCCTTCGGCCAAAAGTGCCTCCAACTCCACCGGATGCTGCTGCTGCTCGCCTCTGTTTTTGCCTACTTGTTGCATCACCTGGAAGCACTTAAGATACATGGCCTTGTCCACAAACTTGGGAGGAGCCCGGGGATTGCAAGCCTCGTCCCCACCCCGGGGCGCATAGAGATTGTTTGCGCCCCAAGGAACTATGGAGGTAAGCAAGTAGAGCACCAAAAGCCTCCCCACGCGTCCATTCCCATCCCTAAACGGATGAATGCACTCAAACTTGTAAAAGAAGCTGGCGCCAATGCTCAACAGCTTTGCAACTCTGAGCTTGGGATCTGTCGCAAATGCCTCCTCGAGGGATTTGTTGGTAGCTGACAGGAGCTGCTCCAAAGCTGCCGGGATCTTCTTGGGATCCATGTAAACATGCTTGCGTCTCTCTGTTGTCAATGTCCACGCCTCACCCCTCCTAAACTCGCCCGCGTCAACCTCGTCCTTGGTGCTCTCCCCGAGCATCTTGTGGATCCGGAGAATCTTCCCGGAATCTAGGCGTGGAACCTTGTCGGCCTTGGCCTGGGCGTTGACCCAGCACAGGCACCTGTACAGGTTGAGCGTTGACACGAGCTTTGGCTTCCTGTCGCCGCCAAAGCCATCGAGCGCAAAAGACTTTGACTGGTTGTACTGGTCAATGGCATCGCTGACCTCTTCCAGTGTGTCGAGCCCTTCGCCCTCGATGTTTGCCACTTGGAACACGAATTCTTTCACCATTGCTGTGCCCTGCTTGAGCGCGCCGCTCTTGTTTTTCTCGGGCAGGGATTCGTACCTCGCAACGCACTTCTCGATGCTCTTGATCGTCGCCATTATACCTGAAACCCTAGGCTCGAACCTTTTCTATTCATAGGGGAGCCAACGGTGGGGATTCCAGCTTGAAGGGGGGATGGTTGCGATTAGCCAAGCGCTCCAACGGTGGGGATTACATCATCATATCGACGGCCAGCGATCAATGCGCGCCAAGTATATATGTTTGGGGAGAAAGTAGGGTTCTTTATCCTCAGGAATGGGAAAGAAGAAATTAGCGCCAACATCGGCAGATCCGGCTGTGAAGGAGCTATGCAAGAGATTGCTGAAAGCAAGCAAGAAGAAATTGGCAGCTGCTACAGCGGGCGTGGATATTTCGGCCATGGCAAAGGATCCCAGCGATTTCCTCCTGTTCACCCTGGCGGATCGCCGAGGTCTGTGTCCTCGGTGCATTTTGCGAGGAGATTTCCAAGGTTTGGCATCGTCGCTTGCTTTGCGAGACCTTTCTTTTTCCATCAGCGTGCTTTTCTCTTTCGTCCGGAAGCGACATTCTTTTTGTCAGCAAGGGTTTGCGGGAATTTTTCTTTCCTATGTGTCGGTTTTCTTGGAAGATCACTTTGCTTTCCCTTGTGTGATTGTGTTCTTCGTTTGTTAGCCGTTTGTAAGCCGCTTTTGACACTTCTTTTCGCCCAGTTTTGCAAGCTTCACGAGAAGGTGGATTGACGATGGCAGTAGCGCGTCCGCTGTCCTTGTAAGCTCGTCCCGGAAATCTGGAGGCAAATGTAAGTCTCACAATCGAGAGTGTTTGGATGGCATGCTATTTCTTTGCTCGGGCATGCTTTAGTATTTGTCCGTGTTTGTGGAAGATCACTGTGCTTTTCGTTGTGTGATTTTTGTTTTTTGTTTGTGTTCTTGGCTTCGTTTGCTAGTCGTGAGGCTTTTAACACTTCTTTTTGCCATCCTGTCCCAGTTTCTTCAACAACCACAAAGTCCACAAGCTTTGCAACCTTGTACAAGTCGGCAGGATCAAACGCACCACCACTGCTACCGACGAGTCTCGCTGTAAGTAGCGCCTGGTAACATTCTTATGCCTAATGCTTGAAACCAGAAACGAATGGACATCAACTCGGAGACATGTCCAGTGAAGACGAGGATCGTCCCGGACATATGGAGGCGAAGGTATGGTTTCAATCGAGAGTGTGAGTTGCTTGGGTGGCATGCTAGTTTTGATCGAGAGTGTGAGTGAGCGTCTTCGGTGGCATTCTCGTCGTGCACTTTAGCCCAGCTATATCTCTTAAA